TTCCAAAATACCATAGACCTAAAGCCGGCTGTAAGATTTTCAATAGCTTCTATAGCCGGCTGCACAATGTCTTATAGCCTTTTATAGCCGATGGCGATTGAGCAACAGCCAGGCGAAAAAGTGTATGCTACATGTTACTAATTACGGATGCTAGGACATAATGAGTTTTTGGACCACCGCTCTATTTTTGGGCCGTAGTATATTGATTTATTTTGCTTGGAAAGCTCCGTACTTTTGAAGGATGCCTGGCATTCCTAATATGTTGGAGCGCCTTCAATTTCGTATGATACTGTGCAATACTTCTGATGTGAAATAGTTGCTTCAAGCGCCGTGGCACGCTGCGGCGCGGCGGGCGGGCAGCCAGCGCGAAAAGCGCCTACAAACCTAACAGGGATACTTCACGCATTGCGCCATGCGTGAAGTATCCCAGTTAGGTTTGTAGGCGCTGGTGCGCGCTTATCGCTGGCAGCACGCCGCTCCGCTCTGTGTTATACTCCAAAATAATCTTGCGGAGTCAGCGTTTTTCAACTCATGATTTTGAAATGTTTGCACATCATGTATGGATTATTCTCATTTTAATTGATGAAAAAAAAAAATATGTATTAAAGGAGAATATAATGTGTGTTTTGTGAATATTATGTTGGCTCCGTATCAAACTTAATGATTTCCAAAGCACACGAATTTCTTTCCGCCTTTTATAGCCAATGGCGATAAAGTGTAAAGCCCGGCGATAGGAGCTATAGCCCAGCTGCATACTTTATTATCGCTTCGTATAGCCCGGCTATATGATTTGCTCCGCTTTCTACGGCCAGCTATATGATTTTCTATTGCCTTCTTTAGCCGGCTATAAGAATTCCTATGGTATTTTGAAACGCAGCTCCTACCGCCAATTTTTACCAGGGCTCGGAGAGGTTGGACATTTAGTTTTCGACAAAATCCTTAAATTTTGACGTTAATTTCTTTACCATATACATTGCATGAGGTGCTACTGGAAGGGAATTTTCCGAGAAATTTAACGAAACCGTCTCCAACACCTCAACATTCCGTATTGACATCGATAAGAGCTTTTAGAGTTTCCAAATTATGTCCAACTCCTCTCATTGCCAAGCGCCGCTGGTGAGGCGGTTAGTGTCTCAAGTCAAAACGCCTTCATTTCCGTGCGTATGCAACACGGACATCCATGGAGCCCGAATAGTTGCATCCAGGCGTTGTAATGAAATGGTTAGTGTCCTTGGTTGTTTCCCTTTTACCTTGACTTAGTTCTGGCGTTGCCCATTGTGCCGATGAGGTAAACCATTACTGATTCTTACAGCTATGTTGTCAATGGTCCAAGAAATGCATTGTTTAAACGTATAAAAACATTGCCGGCTCTCGAAATTACAAAAACTTAGGTACCTCAGCATAGTGCGTAGAATTTCTTGTGAACTTCTTTAATGATACGTCCTAAAAACGAGTTCTTCTCTAAAAAATGGGCTTTAGAATTTTCAATTCAAAGCAAATGTCAACTACTGAAGTGCAGGGATTTTAAAGAAGACTACATCCGTTTTTTTGACGGAGATCTTTTTTAAGGCACAGAATGAGCTACTAGTGCAAGTGTTTTTTAAATAGAGAGAATATAAAAATTAGGGCCTGAGAGTTCGGATTACCGTCAACAGAGCATGCGAGTACGATAAAAAATTGCAAAATTTTTCGCCTGAAAAAGAGAATTTATCTATGCTACCGCAAAATTGCCTGTCTTTTTCAGGTTTTCAATGATTTTTCAAGAACTTGTTACCCAGCTATAGTAAAAAGCCAATACAATTCCTGTTTACATTGAAAAAAGTCCACGAAATTTCCTTAGAATTATTGTTTGATCAAATACCTAAACTTTGGCAAATTTTGTGGGCCCCAACGGCGCTTTTCCTTCGTGCGACTGATACGCCAGCAAAGAATCGCGTCCGAGGGCTGGAATGAGAGATCCTGCGAATCTCTCTCTGAGGATGCGACTATATCGACTCGCAAGATCTGTTTCTGCCTATTCGCTGAAATGAAGGCGAAACGGGCTCCATTGGTCACACGGAGCTTCCTTAAACCTACATCGGAAGGGGATCTCTCTTTGAAATTTCTTTCAAGCCCTTCAATACTTGAAGTGATCAGAATAAATTATCGACATCTTATCAAACCCTGGTGACATAGTTACTGATGAGTCCAAGTGCTTGATCCGAATTTCTTCAAAACGTTGTTGAAACTTGGATAAAAGACACATGAAGAGGATTTCTCTTTAAAATTTCTTTAAAGGCCTTCAATACTTTAAGAAAACAGAGAAAATTTTTCATCTTACCGCACCCTCGTGGCCAGGGCTGCCGATTCGTGAGTAATTACTCACATCGTGAGTAATTTGAGCACCGGTGAGTAAAACGTGAGTAATGAGTAATTGGTGAGTAATCCGACGATCCGTGAGTAATCGTGAGTAATGCAAAATCCATGGGTAATTCTCAGTAATTCTCCATTTTTGGCGCTATTTGTGTGAGTAATCGGTGAGTAAAATTTAAAACGATGAGTAATCGGTGAGTGAAAACAATGTCAATGTGAGTAAAATCGGGAAAGGGTGAGTAAAAAGTGAGTAAAATTGAGAACGGTGGGTAAAAGTTAGTAAAATCGGGATCAGTGAGTAAATTTTAGATTGGTGAGTAAAAAATTCGTGAAATGTGAGTCCGAGTATCGGCAGCCCTGCAGAGTTACCGTTGAGACTAAGCACTTTTCAGAACTCTTCAAAATGTTCTTAAAATTTTCGAAGGAAACGCTTCACAGTGGATTCTTTTTTTTCTTTCTCAGTTTCAGTGAAAATTTCTTTGAAAAATTACCGAAAATTTTTATAAGCGTCTTTTGCCCATTTTTCAAATATTTGGAGTACCTAGAAACTGCAATATGGTAATTATCTTAACTGAGTTTTTCTTTTTTTTTTTTTTTAAAAAAAAAAATAATTTACTCACATTAAAGGTACCCATAAAATTCGCTTAAAAAGAAAGATACTCAGGGTCTATTGTCTTCTTCTTTCATGCTGAAAATCTTTAACATATGACCGTTCATAGGAGAATAAGGTCCCTTGGTCTAGGGACACTAAAAATTGGAGTAAAGAGAGAGCGTGGTTTGCAACTTTCCCCATCGAGATGTGAACGGCTAGAGGAATAGGGGTCCTAAACCGTAGTTCAAAACCACAAAAACTCAAAAAGAGTAGGTGGAGCGTAAGTATAGTAATGTTAGGAAAATATGATGACACAAAAAATCCTAAATTTCAGAACAACTGGGGTTGCAACGGTTTCAAGTTTTCAGTTCAAAATCGTGGTTCTGAGAATAATATAGTCGAAACTCTTATTTGTTGCATTCATGACACAAAACTGCAAGATCATGCGACAACTTAGCGTCCTCCATTGTTAAAAAGTGAACTCATACCCTGACAACGTATTCTTCAGAACACTAAAGAGAGTTTCAATCAGAATTTCAAGATTCCATTGTTCCACCCGATGTGACTTGGCACAAATAATTACTATTTAAAACACCATAAACAAATAAAAGCTAAAGTGAGCAAGAATTTTGGCATACGTACATATAGATTCACAAGAAATTAAAAACCAAACTAACTAGGTACAAGACAACATGTCTCTATGTAAATTTTTGGTTCCCAATAAGAACAATGGCATTTGACACTGTAGTGCTTATACCTTCTCCTGAAGTCTGTTTTAATGGAAACTGTTGTTTCCGTTCAAAAGCTCCAAAATGTTCGAATTGTTCTTTAATAGGTGTGAAAAAAAACTGACAAAATCTTCAAACAAATATCAGAGTTAGTTTTGTCAATTTTTGATCAGAGAATAAACTTAAGTAAAGAGGAGAAATAGCACGGTGAATTAAATATGATTTGTCTGAGGATTTAGATGTGATTGAACCATTAAAAATATTACCTCATTGATTATGACCACCAAAAAAAGATTAAGTAAAAAACAACAGGATTCACCGATAAGATAAACCATTTAGAAGTTGCGCCAGATAAGTTAGCAGTGCTTTACTCTCTGTTTGCAAGCAACTGCGTTGCCGTCATCCAACAGGGGTTGAGGGTTTTAAGCGAGCGCTACTGCCACTGTGCTTGAGACACTCAAAAGTAAACAACTACCAACTTATTTGATGCAAGTTCGACTAACAGAAGTGTAACTGCTCAAAGCTCCGGTCATTCAATTAAGTTTTTCCAAATGAACACCAACTCAGAATCATTCTCTAAAATGTAGTAATGTGAGAAAACTCATGCAGCATTTATTAACGTAAAACTGATTGATTAATGAGATGAAACTGATGTATCAATGTGAACTTGCTTTGACGCAAACTCGAACATGCAGCTGAATGTTTTTTCAGTTTTGCTATTAAAATGAGAGGAGCATGTAGCAATGTGAGCATTTGGTAGATTCAAGATGAAGAAGTGATAAACTAATAGCGAAAGAATTTGCGAAGCTTTATCAGAGAGCTTATTGCGAACAAGAATCTAACAGGCATAAGTTAGCACAGCCAACAGATGAACTAGCCAAGGGCATGTATTTTCAAAATAGTAACTAGAAAGGATTATCTAAAATACACCTTCCAAACGTAAGGCAGGCTATTTGGTATTGAATAGCAAAAGTCAAGAGGGAGCATCTTTCTCCATCAAATAAAGGAAAACATTCAATATCATGGGAACTCTCATGGTCAATGATGACTGTTGCTTATAAGTTCCCAAGCTCCTCTCAATGATAATGAATGAATAACCTAGAACAGCGATTTGTACTATCAACATTGACACGGTCTGCATTCGCAAAATTTTCGAATTCGCGACCAGTTGAAGATTGAAACAAAAAGGATTAATATAATCCCGAACATTACGGGTTCGTTGAAGGTTATAAAAATGTGAAGAAAAGCAGGAAAATTCGGGATTGCTAGCATACTCGACGGGGGATCAAGATGAATAACCTACATAGCTAAAGCAAATTATTACTAACCTTCTACAGATATGTAGGTCAAAATTCCATTGAAAACAATTAGCACACTAAACAATTTACACATTTAAGAGTTATTTACATAAACTTGGGATTGGTGTTTGCAAAATTGCAAACCAAATTTTCGTCTGTGGCGACTCGAAAATAAGAAGCGAAGTAGACAGACACATAAAGACGGCGAAAAGGAGAGGTAGAGGACAGCATAGAGGACAATTTAGTGTGGCGGCCATTTGTGCATCAGAGTACGTCATACGATGCGGAAAGGTATGACCGTGTAGCACTGTTGCCCGATTTTCTTATTTGTGAAAATAAATGGAATGTTCGATTTGTTCGAACAATTTCCGCTCGCAACACAGTAAAATAATCGCAGATGTATCTTCTCTGAAATTTTCCTCGGGCACAAAACTTTTTGCACGCCACATGACTTAAGTTCGAGGTGCAAAATTTGAAACCTGGCAGCGCCGATGACGTCACTAGGGCACGTTTCAAATTGAATATTATTGCCGCCATTATTTTCTGCACCATACATACCACAACTTAGCAAGCGTATCGTCATCGACGGCTAGGCTGCGTCGAAAAAGGCGTATCTCAGATTACAACGTTGCAATTATCTGCACATATTTTATCCTCAAACAATAAAAAAAAAACAACCTACAAGGCTTCTTAATTTTTTCCCCTCACGCTTATACCCAGAAAATTATGTCCTAAGATTAGGAATAATATTTTTTAAAGATATTTTCCGTCGAAAACAGCTCAACATTTCTCCAGAGACGACTCATTTTTTTTAAAATTTTCGTGGAGAGTCTCCCAGACGAGCCAAAAATATCTTCCGAACTCTCCTATGAAGCTGAGGATGATTCCCTGGGTACGGACCTTTTAGTGTCCCCCTCCCCCCTCCCCCGAATGAGATGCACCCCTGGTCCCCCTCAAAAAGATCCTACTTTCGCTTATGCACATCCGAGACCGACATACGCGCAACCTCCAAGGAAGCCGGACGAACTAGGTACAACGTCCATCCCTGAGCACGTTTAGCACGTTTTCCATTAGCTAAGCTGATGTGGCAACATCAATCGAACTTTATCTCTCGAAGAATGCAAGGCGGAAGGGCAAATTATACTTGAAAACCAAAAACTACCCTGTGCACCTCTTAGGCGGATCCAGGGGGGTGGGGGGGGGGAGGGGCATGCTCCCCGCCGTTTGCTCGGCAAGAAGGAGGAAGAAAATGGAAAGAAAGAAGATAGGAAGGATGCTTTCAATTGGTATCGCATTATTCATGACAAAATTGACTTACACTGCATATTGGAAGCTTTATAATTTCAAAAAATGTTTAGGCTCCCGGACCCTCCCCCCTCCCTCCCCCGGTTCGAAGTGTCTGGATCCACACACGGTGTCCGGGCTTAATCGCAATGTTCGCTCTCCCGCCTAAAAACCCCACCCCTGCTGCGTTCATGCTTGCTACTAGCTGAAGTATACCCCCCACTCCCAACGCCTTTTACTGTATCAGAGACTAATCAAGCAAAACTTAAAGAAATTATGTTTATTAATTTTCCCACGTGGAGGTGCTTTTAACTGGTGCGACGTCGCAAATATTAAGCTAAGTAGGTTTTTTTGACCAAGGGAAACAGATTTTAGAGACCCGACGCACTGGCAGTCCAAATGTAGTAAATCACCTATCAATGGCCAAAGTACGATAACACGTATCTCCATAGCCGCATTAAAAAATTTCATCTCCTATTTTATTTTTTCGAAAAGAAACAGGACATATTCATCGCTTGAAATTTAAACAGAATATTCTACTAACATAGAGGAAGAACAAAGGTAGGTTCCAGAAAATATGTTGACTAGTTTTTCCAAGGAAAAAAAAGGTTGGCACGGTGTCTGCTGCGCCGCAAACGAAGATACGTTGTTTCAAACTTTAGCCACCGCCATGCTGATGATAAACGATCAACTACTTGACCATTTCGTTATTGATTGCAAGTACAAGTCATATCGAGCAGATTTGAGTGATGAATTCCAAAAAAAAAAACGTTTACACTACGGAAGGATAGAAAATGCGTGGTCTACATAATTCTTCACTTCAGCGAACTAAAGTTAAGGGATAGGGAAACATGTTGAGTGAGGAGGGTGCTCACAAAAAACGGCGATTCTTCACTCGAAACAAGCCTCGCGAACACTGCAACGTAAATCTAGCGCGGCGCTGGCATACAACTATTTGAACTTGTGAGTCGGTTTGTGGCCTATCCGGTCGAAATGAAGGCGCAATGAGGAGGTCGGACGGCGCGATGCACGACCACTCTGATCTCCTGCAAATGTTGCATTTTGAGAAACCATTTTTTTGTGCGATAATAACTAATGCATGTCGCATTATATGTAGTTGATAATGAAGAGAATTTGTCAAAATAAGTCTATTTTGCAGAACTGAATGCTCGAAACTTTTGTCAGCATAGCAGGTGAATAGGTACCAGAGATTGGTTACAAAAATAACTTTTAAAATACGAGAGGTTAGAGAGAGAGAGAGACGCCACTTGGGCGTTTTCATCCCGAGTTTAACAGAAACGCATCAATTAGCATTTAAAGAATAAAATGTATTAGGAGTGGTTTCGAATACAACCATTTGTAAATGTTCTCTTGTCGAAAGTTTAGTTGACACAAAATATTTTTTGGCACGAAAATGTTCGATGAATTTCGTTGAAGCTCGTTCTTAACGTTGAGTCTTACTAAGACAAGTACAATTTCAAAAAAAATTTCTCGGTTTATTACCGATGCGTCCGTTCCTGTTAAACTGGGCTCACTTATGCTAAAAGGAACAATATACCTAAATTGAATTAAACCAAAAGGAACTATGCGGATAGGATATGCCTCATACATAGTTCTTTTCGATTAAATTCATTTCCAGTAAGTTTCTTTTAGCATGTTGCATAATGTATCAATTCACATGATGTATGCGTAAAAAATCTACATGCAAATTACCTAATTAGATTTTGTCAAAATTAGCCTCTTTTGCAAAAAAAGATCGATAAAAACTTTTGTCAGAATACCTCATTTTGGCAAATTTGAGTGATGGATTTCGAGAATAACTTTAACACTGCGATAGGTTACATAGGGCGAGATATCTGAAATATACTATATCGACGGTGTAAGTCGGCAATCACATAACTCGGTTTGCGACGCGTCGCAGACTTCCTATCATACTTTATTTTTTAAACGGAAAACTACTCAACGGCAATTCTTTAAAATTGCCGTGATTTTTCCTCTGTGTGCGAAGAAAATTCTGCAAAAACTTCAAGGAATGATGTCAATTTGTTCTCCTTCAAAAAAATAACGTAGAGGCGGAGATTTTCAGACACCGCAAACGAGTTATGTGATTACACCATCGATATATCGGCTGACCTCTGAAATAAAATCTAAGGTACCTAACATCTTGAATGAGAAATAGCTCTCCCGTGTTACTGAAGAGAATAGTAACGCCTAAATTTTCAGGATCGAGTTCAGTGGCGTGGCGTGAATTGCGATTTATCGATTGTTATGCCATTTAAACCTACGCTCAAGAATCGATTATTAAGGTGTTCGCTGCGAACACCCTGTTTATCGATCCTTTTCCGTAGGTTTAAATGGCATAACGATCGATTTATCGCAATTCACGCCACGCCACTGATCGAGTTACTTCCAAAATTCGTCTGATTTAATTTAAATGAGCTCACTGATTCAACTAAAGCAGAATAATTTTGGATGCTTATGACGAGTATCATAAAAAACGAGGGCTTTGTCAGCTAAAACTTTCCGCTTCGACGCTGCCTAGTCCATTGTCTCAAAATTTCTTGTTTGCGCTGACTGCTCTATTCGTTAAAATGGTAGATAAGAGCTCCCAAAATACGCCAGTCCTCCGGGCCACTGCTGATCCAGAGCAGCGCGGCGCTAGCATACAACTATATCACCTCGTGAGTCAGTTTTTGGCCTATCAGACGAAAATGAAGGCGCGTCGAAAACGTTCGCGCAGCCACTCTGACCTCTTATGTACCGTTCCGATTTAATAAGCAGATGTTAGGCCAAGTGGATTGCATTTTGCAAAAAGGAACCACTAGCATTGCAATGATGCTAAGATTGTGCAACTTCATCTTTTGCAATAAAATTGCGGAAATCGTGAAAAACTATGAAATTTCGATGGTCATTTTTGTCTTACATTTACAGTTTTTAGCGAGTAAAATAGAAACTATTAATGGATAATCGGGTTTTTCCTCCAAGACAAAAGAAGTTGCACAATCTTAGCAACATTGCAATGCTAGTGGTTCCTTTTCACAAAATGCAATCCAAGTGATAACTGATAAATGTTTGATCAAGTGATTTTTTAGGAGAGACTTACAAATTAGGACTGCCAACCAAACAAAAAACAGGTTGCCAAACGATCTACACCTGGTTTTGGCCTGTTCACTGTTCATTTGCATTTAATTTCGAACGCAATGTCAGATTGGACATATTGCAAGAGTTTCCCTCTCTGGCTTTGAAAGAATTTTCTTAGCTTTCCATACATGAGAGAAAATCACATTTATTTGTAAAATTTTGTTATTTTCCACAAAGTTCGATTTTGTAGTGGATTTTCGTATTAGAATTACTGATGGAGAGGCATCGAGAAGGGAACAGGTGTTGTTGTCGTAGATCGTTGGCATGCTGGGATCCAGCAAATTGGCAACATTGTCTTTTCTCCATTTAAACCTATGGAAATGTATCGATTCTTGAATGGGCCCGGCGCTCCGACAAGAATCGATTTTTTAGCATAGGTTTAAATAGAGGAAATCTGATCGTTGCACAGAATCTGATTTTCTTGATGTTCGGTCGATGAAAAATGTCAAACCAGGGGATAAACTCGAAGCTGAGACCATAAGGATCAAAATATATGTAAATGTGACTACTTTTTGCTTTTAGTGCTCTTCCTCTCTAAGTAAAAAGTTCCAGAACTTCAGCTGGAACGTCGCTATTGCACCGGCAGGAACTACGTGCATAGGTTTTACGTGCTGCGCAAAATTCCTTTTAATTGAATTCATTTCGATAGCTAAAGTGCTGAATCACGTATCTCAATTGCAGTGTTTCAAACTTACTGCCCCTAGAAGCCAAAAAAGCCAACTTTAAAGCTTAAAATTTGTATAGAAAATATATTTAGCTGACGGAATAAAAAAAACCTGCAGGTAAAAATT